AATTAACGTCGCAGGTTGCGAAGTTTAGCCTCTTCCGCTCGGAAGGACTCCACGCACTATTTTTTTCTCTCTCTCTCTTTCTTACAAATATTGTCATTTAATTCCGAAACATGATATTTAATTTTGATTATGTGAGACAATATTAGTCGTTTTGGAAAAGTGTAAGCGTTGCAATAAATTTATTTAATAAACTTTTTAATTTTGAAATAAGAAAGCATGAATTAGGTATGCTGATAGCTTTTACAAAATCTATAATAAGATAACTCGTTATATTTTATTTTATAACAGTCATTGAACAGCCAATCCAATTTTTTGGGTTTACGACTATTAATGTCCAACTTCGCAGACTTGTAATTTTGAACCCAATCCAGAAAACAAAGGAACTCCTGGATCAAATATGGTGTGAAATTTGCCTTCGTGGAGGATTTTTTGATGGAACTAACCCGCATTTGCATTACAGGGAGAGGAAAACCACGAAAACCTTCCACGGTTAGCCCGACTGCAAGGGGACTCTAATACATCATCCGTCTACAACTGAGGATCTTTTACGTCAGTAAATGCATGCCGGTCTGTGCATGCCGGATGCAGAATTCGTATCGACCAGCCATCGCTGGGATTCGAACCCGGTTTACCTCATTGGCAAACGAACGCTCAATCCCCTGAGCCATTATTTTATTTTATAACCATCGCTGAACAGCCGACCTAATTCTGGGTTTACGACTACCAATGTTCAATTCCGTATCCTTATAATTTTGATCCAAATCCGGAAGACAAGAGATCTCCGGGATCAGTACCACCAGAGGTATTGATTTGTTATGGAAACTTGGAAGACTTTGTGACCCCGACAGATTTAACGTGCATCAGTCACCAAAGATAACTCATTAGAAAATATTCCTAGTTGCTTCCAAATTATAAGGATATTTAAAACGCATTTACAAAATCATCGGAGAAAAATTTCAAGATTTTGCAGCCTCATGAAAAATTTATTTTTAAACGTTAGTGAAAAATGTAGGTTTTTTCTCATCCGTTTATTAGAATACAATGAAACAATTATTGATATTAACCACCTAAAAAATCAAACATAGCACAGCTAAAACTGTAATTCCAGGTACACAAGACATTGAAGATAGCTTATTTTTCTGGTAATTATGTATATCGAATGACTAAAGATGCACACTTCAAAATTTATTGCTATAGGTATCCAGCTTTATAACTTAAATTGAAAGAGTGGTGGCAACACAAAAATGAAACTCTGTATAATTTCTATTGTCTTCTAAGGGCAAAGCATAACAGACGAGCATGCGTACGAACCCGTTTTTAACACTTTCAAATTAGGCACAGCATATGAGTTACCGTTTTCTTTTTAAGGAATATCCTTGTGACATAAAAAATTAAATATATGTGGCATCTGTTGGGAAAATTTTTTTCTCCTGATTTCTTAAAAAGTAGTTTTCCTTGATTAAAGGAAGAGAAAATATTTTTGTGAACCTGATACAGGTAAAAGTAGTGTTCTGTCTTCTGAGCAAACTTGTGTATCAAATTCTAATAATAATTAGGTCTATTTTCAGACCAAAAGCAAAAAACTATCTGAGTTTTTCATGATGTTCTAAAGCTGGTTAATCAGGAACGATTATTTCTAGATTTTTTTATTCAAAAATAATATACGCCTGCCACTGGCCTTTTCGAATTTAGTCTGGCTCCCCTTTCGTTTGACAAGAGAGCACCGCAAGGGTGAAAGTGCGTCTTAGCTCAGAACCCCCCCAGATAGATGGCAAAACCACTAATTTTTGAGGCTACTTCTATAATTTTGATTTTGATCTGAAGGGAAGGAAATTTTCTCCAGATCCCTGTACCGAGGACACTGAACAGTGAGCGACCACACGGCTTTCGATTACACAAATTTTACGAGCACGTATATCGCATGTACTCGGTGGGTTTTAGCGGTATCGAGGATCGAACCTCGGTTCGATTCTCTAACCACTGGGCTTTTATAGCCTGTAAAGATATTGCATAATATAGAAACAAATGATAACACTTATCTGTCACAGATTACAGAAGTCATTTATTATGGTATAAAAAGAAATTTTTGATGTTACTTTTTCCTTATTCTGTAACAGTCAAAGAAAACTCCGTTGTATTTCAGTGGAATTTTCCAGCTCTTATTGTAAGCAACAATGTTGGTCCAGCCCTTGCTGCAGGAAATACTGTAGTCTTGAAACCTGCAATGCAGACACCATTGACTCCTCTTTACCTTGTTAGTTTGATGAAAGAAGCAGGTTTTCCTCCTGGAGTTGTCAATATAGTGCCAGGTCATGGTCATACAGCCGGTAAAGTGCTTGTCACCCATTCAGATGTAGACAACGTTTCTTATACGGGAATATCAGAGGTTAGTTATAATACTTCCATTGATGGAAACAACTTCTAATTTTAATCTGATGTTTTTAGTCGAAGGAACTAAAATATATATACTTTAACTTCTTAAAGTTTACTGTTCTGATTGAAGAATTATAGGCTCGTATTGGTGATTTCCAAAAACGTGAAATTTCAGACTTATAATCCAAATAGCTGACGAAAAAAATCAGTAATGAGTTGTGTTCGAAAAACGTAATGCAAAGAAATTATCTTTTTGGTATTCTAAATGAGGCTTCTATCTGAAATTTCTTGTCACCTGGTCACAAATAAAGCCTGTAACCACTTTAATTGAAAAAGAAGTTTCTCTTACAATACAATACAAATCAAGCTTTTTGCACAGTTTGACCAGATCATAATTAAAGCTCTCGTTAATTGTGTCCGCTGAATGCATACAAAATTTATACTGCGAGTATAATATCTCAATCAATGGAAAAGCTGGAAAGTTTTTAATACCAGTTGTTTTCAAAGTATTCATTTAATACACTGAGTTTATTTTCTACATCATATATTTTTAATTCTAAGAAACTTTGCCTTTTTACTAAAACAATATTTATTTTGTTGGCTACTTAAATTTTTTTTTTTGTTAAAAAAGGAATAATTTTGTCGTTATGTTATTCTAACCGAATGCACTTTATTTTAAAAACATTTAAGTTACTAAATTTACAAAATTCTTACTTATTGATTGGTACAAATGACACCTTTTCTAAGATATCGGCATTGCATTGGACTGTTTTGGTGTATAAGAAATTCTTAAGTTGCTGTAGTAAGAAAATCTTTTGTATCATTAACCTAATAATTGTGTGCGTACAATTGACAAAAAGTAATAAAATTTCTTGAATAAGTTTGATCTGGAAAAAAGCCCCCTACTATGTACAGCGTATAAATAAGACTTTCTGGCCAAACCAGTATAATTGGTTGATTAATTATTTTAAAGCGGAACGCTAGGGAATTTTATAAGAGAAATTAAAATAGCGTACACATTCTTTTCTAAAGTTTCCAAATTGTGTCATTTGAAGAAAGAATTATATCGATCACTTTTGCAGCCGATTTTTCAAACAGGAATTCAGTAATGTCGTTTACACGTGGGTTGATAAGGTTTTTAATAACGACATGTATTATGTTTCCACTCGCTTGTAGTATTCTAAAACTGACTAAAAATTAATCGTAATCTTGATATCGGCATAATTTCATTAATGCTGATTAAAATTAGAAATTCTTAATGTATTATCAGCCCAACATAAAAATCATTTTATTATTTACTGAGTCCATGCGGATATACGCCGGAACCGATAACCGGCAGCAGCTAATAATAAGACAGGCTACTGACCCCAAAGTTGCCTACGTATTCCATTTGCTGGGATTCCATCAATTCCTTTTCGTTGACAATTTCTCAATGATACTCCGCTTTCTTTATCTGAGATTTTTGACCAATTCTTTCTTAGATTTTAATTTTTAATTTAAAAAAAAGTTCTATATTTTTATGGCGCATTGGAAATTTTTTCACGAAACACAGCTTAAGAACCCCCCATGCATTTATTTTTCATTCCTAACACATCTAAAAATAAATCGATAAAACAATAAAAATATAATCGATGCAATAAATAACGCTATCCATGTATTTTAAACAAAATATTTCTTTTTATATGTACCTAATATAAATCCGAAGTTCTTAACTGATTCACACCAAATTTGGTGTTCATACGTTCAAAAGTCAAGGGAACATCGGTTTTTCAAACTTGAAAAGAAAAAAAAAATAAAGAAGAAAAAATAAACTGTTTTAAGCCATAAAACTAAAAAAAAAGTCTTCCAAAAGATAAGTAAATATATTTTAAAATATCGTCACCGCGATAAACTACCATAGTACAGCTTACAGCCATATTTAATAAAAAATTAGTTTCATTGGGAGGCTATGGAAGGCCTTAAATAATTATTTATCTTTGGTTTCATATATTAGGCCAGCACAAATGAAACCAACATGGATAATTTCGTAACACATAGACTACGTCACCTATTCAGCGATTTAAAGGAATATAAATAAAATCAAGTGTGTCTTATTTGGATACTCGTGGTTTTTAAACGAGTTTTAGGAACATAAATATCATTAAGTTCGAAAAAAGTAGTAAAATAAAATTGTTTTGCATTAAGTTCGAGTTCATGAGCAAAATTGAATTGAATTAGAGTTTTAGAAACATAAATATCATTAAGTTAGAAAAAAGTA